AGCACTTATCTCCCTCGTATGCTGTCCTTACGGCGTTGTCGTTCTTATGTTCGCACGCGTCACATTCCTCCTTTAATCTCCTGCGTTATGTCGGTCCAGCTGCCAGAGAGAGAACTATACTCTCTCTTCGCCCTCCGATTCCCGCTCACTAGCAGAACCGCCTTCGACACCATAAGCCTGTTATGGCTGTCTTAGCAACCCACACTCAGCGTAGAGATAACTTCCCACCCTCTTCCTCCTTCCCTGCTAATCTGGAAGAGGATAGTATTGATCCGAGGGCACCCCGCTTGTCCGCCCAATAGCTGCCAGCGCTTCCTCGCACGCGATGGCTCGAACGCTATCTGCTTCGGTGCGTCTCAGCAGGCGCTTGACGCGTTCTCCATCTCGGCTAGCTCTAGGAAAGTCAAAGGTCGAGTAAGAGCAGTCCTACGGTCGTCCACTAACAACTCCTCCTCACTAGTGCTTGCATCACTCATGAGCTACAGTGTGTGTGGTCTAAACTAGAATCCACACTGAATTCGACCTCAGCATGACACACAATCGATTATAATGCACAACTAAATTCGGTCGGCTTGGACAGAAACAATTAGGTGGTTAGGTGTCAACCAATGTCAGATCCTACAAAAGATATTAAATCTATTTTTAGATCACTCTAATACAGATGGCACTGCGACAAAGATTACTCTATCTGCAGTTGTCTGTCAGTTGTTAGTAAAGTCCGTAACAACTAAATAATCAAAAATAAAAATAACATCTCCTGCAGAGATGTATGCTGGATGGCAGTTTATCTAATTAGTGCCACAACGAACAGTTACCGGAATCCAACCCTCACCCTGTATCCCTCTTGAGTAGTTGCTTTGTGTCGACGCCCTGAGCATCTGGTTGAGCAGCGTGTCTGAAGGTGTGCAATCCGGCCCAACCCTGTGCCCCAAGTCAACGCCGAACCTGCCAACCCCTGCACATTATTTATCCTCGCATGCAACGAGCCGTACACCCGGTTTGATCTGGCTGAGCAGGAGGCATTTAAGGAGATCCCCCGTAACTCCTCAGGAATTATTTAACGTCGCAGATAGGACGACGATCACAGCCAGAATCAACACCGAGTCCCCGCCAGAAATATTTAAAGACGGTCTGGAAAGCGTTTGTTTAAAGGGCTGGCATGCCCTGCATGACCTCTATTGCGCAGCAGCAAAATCAAGGACTTGCGCAAAACATGTGTACTAGTCCCAACGGGTTGGCATGGTGACCGTGACCCGAGTGCTTCGTCCAGGGCCCGTCTCCCACCAGCTTGCTGCCCAGGAAGAATGTTGACTCTCAAGGTTAAGCGCTCGTGACACCTCACATTGAGAGGACTCTCAAGACAAGACTTACTTCCTCACGGTAAGAACCAATGAAGAGGGTAGATAAGGAAGGAAGCAATGTACCTCATAATGCTGCCCCCAACCACATATTTCTCACCGGCAACCTGATTTGCATTTATGATGACCGGTCTTTGCCTCGGCACAACCCACAGCAGAATGTAGTTCCACCTCGGCTTAAATGCCACATCAGCGAGCTCTCATCATCCAGTGTACACCCCTAATGTCTCCACATAGCTTCGTGGCGCGCCCACACGACCCTGGGCCGCCTTACATTCAACGCCCAAGTCTTATCACTGCCCCACACCTCATGCGAAGCATCGAACAGCTAATGCGAAGAACCAATGAGCGCAGTTTGAACCAGCTCCGATACCAAATTGCAAGGAAAATGAACAGAAGCAAGATGACAATATTCAGATTGCACAATCACATTGAAAGCCAAATCGTAACACAGTGTTCAGGAAGTAGCATTGCACCAATATAACACCAATGGAGAATCGTAGCACTGAAAGTCAATGTCAATGAGAGCTTGCTCTCGCCACCACCAACATATGTATCCAGTCTCTATCTCCCTACTTGGCGCTCAACGCCCAGCCTACTCCCTACACAGCTACTACTAGCCTACTAATTGACAATGCGACTGTTGACGTCAGCAGCACCCGAAGTACTTGAAGATGTCGCCCATGCAGAACCATCGCCAATACCAGGTATGTGCCCTCACATCATTAAAAGGGCTTTTACCCGATTCAGACCGTGTTTGATAAGGGGTCACTCGGCAGGACCCCCAACTCGTGAAAAGCAGGCATGTTCTCTGGGTCAAAGGTCACATCCTAACTAAAGGAAAATCCAATACTAAAGGTCACAGTTGTGCCCCTGGATGAACAATTGTAATATTCAGATGTGGGAGTCACATCTGTTCGTCCAGGGGGTGTGCAAGTCATGTCTGTTCATGCAGGTGATGTGTCTGTACGTGCAGTATGTGTGTCTATTCGTGCAGTATGTGTGTCTGTTCGTGCAAAATGTGCGTCTGTTTGAGCAGTAGGTGTGCCTATTCAAAGGAAGTCAAAAGGTATTCAAAGGAAGTCAAAAGGTTGAGTCCCAGTCACAAATTAAGTCAGCGGGACAGTCTAGATACAAGCCCCAAGTCCAAAATCCAGGCCAGATGGCCGAAGCAGCAGCAGACCCTGAGGGGAAAATACTGGGACACACACCTATGCATGGGTCTGGGACTGAAGGAGGCCCAAAGTGCCAATGCAGACCAATGCAGACCTCGCCAGGGGAGGCCAGCAGTATAAAGCAATAGGCCAGCCTCCCTTGACATCAGATTACCGCCGGCAGTATTGCGTGGAAGTGTTGCATGCACTTGTGCGCTGGCTGGCCGGGTTAGCGCTGGAGGAGGAAGCTGCGCTAGGGAAGAAGGAGAAGGCTGGGCGCTGGCTTGCAAATGGCAGCCATAGCAGCCCTTCTAGTTAGTATAGCTAGTGGGTTAGGACTTAGTCTACAGTGAGTAGCATTGAGAGCAGATTCTCGAGGCAGGAGTGAGCATGCATGATGAGAGAAGAGGAATGAGACTGAGATCTTGAGGAAAGAGAGAGAGAAGTAAGAGACAGGTTGACGAGTTGGCTATGGTGACTACTTACCTGCTCTGCGCTTGACGAGTTGCTGAGAGGTGGCGCTGGCTCAGCCAGGCCCCATTGTGCTGATGTTTGAGAGAGGGACATATCATGATTGTTGAGCGCTTGGATCCATGAACTCGAGATACTCTTTATAATGTGTTTGAGATAATATAAGCTGCGCGACTTGGTTCTCATCTCATCCCCATTTGCGTGTTGAGTCATAACCTGTGTGAATGGTGACGTTGCATGCATTGTGATACACTCTGGCAAGACGTGGTCAGTCAGGACCCTTGCATCATCATCATCATCATCCTTCTCTCTCCCCCCTTGACTCTCTCCCACGTCTCCCTTTGTTGTACACCCGAAGATCACCCCTGCGCCTCACTGTAGTCCAAGCCCACCAGCTATGGTGGATGGGCTATGGCGCTGCCCTCAGCAGCGCCCTTCTTCCCTGCACGACCGCACACGCTGCACCTCGCCTCTCAGCACCAGCAGCAGCCCACGAGCCTTTGCTCCAGCAGCGCTGCCGCTAGCATGTGAGTGCCTGAATGCCGCTGGCCAGGGAGAGCTCTTTCCTATATGGAAAGAGCTGGCCTGCTCGCGCAGCCTTGCTGGGCTGGGCCTGGGCCCAGAAGCTTCCGATAGGCCCCAGGATGCTGCGCTTGTGTGCAGCTACTGGGCCTCTTGCGGTTCTGCCTCCCAACTGTCAGTGTATGATGCTGCGATTCTCGCCCAGGGCCTGCATTCTTTGGAAAAGCCCAGAAGGCCGTGGAAATGTCTTTGTTGACCGGCCTGGGTTTCTCTCAACCGACTGATGCGTCACAACTGCCTGGACCCCAAATATGAATTTGACAGCCGAGGGCCTCTTGTGATATGTTAGGCCCGCCTTCACTTAGGGCGGGCACTCTTGCTACAGGGGCCCCTCAGGCCTGCCGAGGACCCAGATCCTCGCAGTTGTCAGCAGGTATCCGGAAATTCCAGTCCCGACTGGGAAAAGGTACCACTGCATCCAGGCGTCAAGATCGGGCAAATTTGAACTGTCAACACCATCAAAGGGGAGACTGGTCCACGCAGTCAACACTGGTCAATGCTACAAAAGGACAGCCAGACACTGGGGAAGGCATTCTGCCTTTTGGTGGCTTGATGCTTGTGTTGTATGGCGAGGCTGCGGGAGTGGGATGTTGGCGCCAGATGCTGCTGGAGGGCGCCAGCCAAGAGGAAGATTATGTTGGCGCGGGCATAGCCGCATAGCTGTAGACTAGGTGATGAGGTTTGGCGAGGAGGAGGAGGATTAGGGCTGTGAGACTGATGGGAGATTAAGCGAAGCTTACCTGGACTTACCTGGCGACGACACGTGTGATCTGCTGCTGGTCTCCACAATGGTGAGAAAGTACCGCACCATTCTCCATATTCCAGTGCTGACGTGGAGGGAGGATGGGCGCCCTTCTATGATCTGCACAGTAATTATGTCAGAGGACATCAGAGGGAACATGCATTGCTGAGGTGGCGATAAGGGAGAAGCCCGAAGTGGAAGTGCGCATGTGCGCGCGCGCGCACGGGGGAGAGAGAGAGAGAGAGAGAGGCATACATGTACTAGTGATTTCTATTGAGACTCTCCCCCTCCTCTTCTCCGTCTTTCCTCTCCTCTTTCTCTCCTCATGCTCTTCTTTGACGGGACGATGGTCCTGAATTGTGCATATGATCGAGACATGGGCTTGTGATTTCGGAGATTTCATGAGATGTGCTGTGTCCAGACTTTTATTTGCATCGATGACTGGCTTCTCAACAAGACTGGGTTCATCACAAAAAGTACTTAATAGAGTTGTAACCCCTGTCCCTCCCTGCCTCCGGCCCCTCCCCTCTCCTTCCCCAGCCTCCCCTAGGTCAGAGTATATGGATGAGACATCATGCCTATGCATATCATCATCACAGATGCCCACATGTGAGGAGCCGGGATCGTGGGGTCAGGTGATTATCAGGGGAACCCTTATTTACCATTTATGGCAATTTTTGGATGATTGTATAGGTGCCTTACTATCTGGATGAGAGCCAAGGCTGGGGCATGGAGATTTCAGAGTTGGAGAAGCAGTTGCAGGCTGCTCGCACCAGCGGCACCGTAGTGCGTGCCTTGGTTGTCATCAACCCTGGCAATCCCACAGGGCAGGTCAGTTGAGAGGGATGTATATGTGCTTTGGGTGTCGTCTGCCCAAAGTCATCCAAAGGTGTTTTGTCGGTTGATCTTGCTGGCAGCACTGGCTGTGTGCTTGGGGCTGTCTGGAGGTTGTGCTCTTGGGTAATCTTTGTCTTGCTGTGTGTAATGATTCATGTCTACATCTGGGAGCTGCAGAAGATTCTGTGATGATGCTATGCTTGAATTGGCTTTATGTACTCGACATTGGCTTCCTTGGGGTGTCGCTCCACCACTCACCACATGAACAAAAGGCAAACATGATGTCCGTGTATCTGTATATGTTGTAGTAGAAGTTTGATTCTCATCTTGCACATCAGCGGACCCAGGTCCTTGGTTATCTCCGCACAATATATGCTAACTTCACAACTTAGAAAAACCAAAGCCATCAATTTTGGATGTTGCCAAGTGTATGCCATGATCCTGTTGGTGAGACATTGGTTTGGTTTGTTTTTCTCTCTTTTTTTCACCCTGTTTATTGAGAGCCAGAGCGGATATCTCATACGCATGAGCTTGTGTTTGGAGTATTTGTATTCGTCTGTGATGGCCCGTCTTTTTCACCCTTCCTTTCTCTGACTTGTGGAAACTCGTTTGCCTTGTCTAATATGAGATGATGATGACATGGTTGGTGCTGCCAAACTATTGTTTACTTTGTTTGCTTATCGGGAAGGAGAATAGAGTGAGCTCTGGACACTTAGTCACTGTTGATATCTGATCTTTGGAACTCTTCGTCACTGCAGGTCCTGTCCGAGGAAAATCAGGAGGAGGTTGTCAAATTCTGTAAGAGAGAGAACCTCCTGCTCATTGCAGACGAGGCAAGTTTTGTCATTTTTTCTTCCTGCCATGTCTGGCTTTTGATAGTGCCATGTGGGTTGTGCTGTCTTGCTGTTCCTTCTTTCATATTGCAGCTCCCGTTCTCCCTTTGCCTCCTTTCATTTGCTATGATCTTCTCCTCACTGTGTGCTTCCGCTCCCCGGCCTCGTCTCGGAAGTTGGCATCAACTTTCGCCTCGCTGCTTACACCCTTGCTGTATGCAACTCGTATCATTTTTTTGCATTCTTCCTGCATCCTGTGCTTGTCTCGTCGCCACTCTATGGCCCACTTCTGAATTTGAAATACATAATGCATTGTCATCAGTTCTGCTCATCCTTGGGACTCTTCTTGCTCCTTAAGCAGCTCTATGCTTACACCTACTTCTATCTCGATGCGGCGGCATGGTGATGGCACACTTCATCTCAAGGCGGCCCCTGCTTCAAACCGAGGCTACCTTCTGCAGCTGCCCTGGTTATGAAGGTGCCTATCTGTTTCAGTTATCCATTGGATTCTCTATCTGACGGTAGTCACAGCTTTTGTTGTTTCTTGTTTTGTTTCCCAAGGGCTGCCCTGATTTATTACGAGGTGATGGTGGTCTTGAATATAAAGACTTGGAACCGCCACATACAGCCTGGCAGGCTGCTGGGAATTTGGTCGTGCAGTTCTACCAACCACTTGGACAGAGAAGAGCCTTGGGAGAGTATTTTCCCCCTGAAAAACGCTAGCTTGAACCTCCGCCGAATTTCTCTGATGGTTGCTGATGTGCTCACTCTTTTCTGCTATGTGGTTTCAAAACTTTTGGTCTTCGACCTAACTGCGGTGAGCGATTCTGTCTTTGGCTCATTGGGACTGTTTTTGTGAGAAGTTTCTGCGCTGTAATCGTTTCTGTCTGACAATTAAGCTTCACCGGTTGCATCCTTTGCTCTTCCTTTTCTCACTAATTCGCTCCATTCCTACTAATACAGGTATACCAGGAGAACATCTATAGCGAGGGAAAGAAGTTCACGTCATTCAAGAAAGTTGTCCGCGACCTCGGTTTAACAGACAATGATTTCACTCTTGTTTCGCTGCATTCTTCCTCCAAAGGTCAGTTCCCCTTCTCCAAATAAGGAGGTCTTGTTTGCAGTTCTGCATTTAAGAAAAAGGATCAAAGTGTGAACGCACGTCAGTGCTTGGTTCTCTTTTGTTTTGCTGCATTCTTCTTAACCATATATTGCAAAATCGGGCTGTTGAGGCCAGGGACCTCACAACTCTACCCAGGAAAAGTACCAGGGCCGGTACCCAACTTCGTTCATTACTGGAAAGCGGGTCCAGTCACTGCATTCTTCGTTTGAAAGTAGGGAGCATCAGTTCGATTCTTTTTCGACCAGCCCGGAAAAAGTTGCGAATAGTCACTGACACAGCGCTTCCTCTCGCGTGACGGGCAGAGCACCCCCGACACGGCATTGAGTGCCTGCTATTCACGAAACTGGGTTGACTTTCAGCTATGTGTGTCGAAGCTGATTTCAAAATCCTCTTCTCCCTCTCCTCGAACCCTTCAAAAGAAACATGGCAGAAAACCAGAGACTTGCTCAAGTTCTTCTGTCGCATACCATAAAGGTGCAGACCAGAACAAGAACCGACCTCTCTCACATAGTACAAGATAGCGTAGCCGAACAATCAGTGTTGCAATGCAGACCACACATACATCATCATCATTCCATGGTGTGAAGGGGCCTGGCGCTCACACAGGAAGAATGCGCCAGTCCCCGACCATACACAGACGAAGAAGAGGGGGGTTAGACGAAGAAGAGGGGAAGATGGGAATGTCGTCAACACCAAGTCTTC